GTCAATACAATACCATCAAGGAGTGACACAAGAATCTAATAAACCAACAGATAAACATCAGGTCAGCAGTAAAAACAAAATCTAAAGGACAAAGGGGCAAAACCTCCAATGACTTCAGAACTTAATGGTAATATGCTTATTGGCGCATGTGTAAGTACGTATCTAAGCAGGTGCATTAATTCGTACACGGCTGTCCATAAAGCAGCAACTTTTTGTGGCACCGTCTGATTCTCTAAGAACCTGATGAGTTTCTTTGAGAGAGCAGCAGCAGCGCAATCTAGCTCAGCTGTACTCAATCTGAGTTGCTGTCCTCCCTACAAACCCTCACTTCAAAGCAAGGAACATAATGTACAATTTTTTAATGGCTCTAGACCCAGGCACTCAGACTCTCTGCTCTGCGCCTTACCTCAGTGTAAACACCTAATCAAGATTGCCTGCGCTTCAACAATAGCAGCCAAATGCAATTCGAGAACCATAAGCCTTTGAAGTCTTCCCTGCAAAGGCCGGTTTTCTAGTCTGGGATAATGACATGCCATGATTGCTGTCTTTGTTGTATCTTTTCAGTAGAGAAGCAATTATAGGCCCCAATTTAACAGAATAGACATTACACAGCTTATGATGCTCAAAATGCAATTTCATTTGATCATTTTCTCGATTTGATTGGTATTAATAGAATGGTTCACAAAAAAAAAAAAAAATAGCTGGCAGAGGTTGTGTCCCATTCCACTTTCAAAGAGATAATGTAGGAGTATGCTTCACTGCCTGGATCCACTCCCGGGGTGACTCAGCCACCGAGTTCCACCAAAATAGCCTGTGGAGGGAAACATTGTACATGCTGCGTTCTCACAGGGAGCGGAAGATCTTGTATTTTTAATTTGTAAACTTTTCGCCTGTTTAAGCTGTTCACAGGAGCCTATCCTTGCCAATCAAACAGTTCATATCACCAGGGATAAGCTAAATTAATACAGCCGAGTCCCTTTTATTCCTTAGGCATTTCTGAAAGTCAGGTCATCCACGTGTGAGGGGAAGGTGTATGAAAAAACCCAACTTGCGTCCCCCTGGCCTCCAGCTGACAGTGCGTCAGTGAGGTTGCCTCTCGGTGACTCACACAGAGGATTGTTTCCTTGCCTGCTTAGCTTACTTAGCTGCTTTAGTCTCTTGATCTTCATGTCTTCCTCTAAGAATCTTTCCTTTTGAGAGAATTTCTGGGTGTTTTTTTTTTTAAGATTTATTTTTTATTTATTTGAAAGGCGGAGAGTTAGAGAGAGAGGAGGAGAGACTGAAGAATATTCCATTCACTTGTTCGTTCTCCAAATGGCCACAAAGGCTGGGGCTGGGCAAGGCCAAAAGCCCAGAGCCAGGAGCTTCTTCTAGTTCTCCCCCACAGGTGCAGGAATCCAAGCACCTGGACTACCTTGTGCTGCCTTCCCAGGCACACTACCAGGGAGCCGGATGGGAAATGGAGTAACTGGTGTTGGAACCCATGTGGAGTGCTGGGGGTTGCAGGCTGAGGCTTTATGTGCTACACTACAACTCTAACCTGCTACATTTCTGTTTAACATCATGGTAGTTAGAGATCATCCCATTTTGCAGAAACAAGGGCAGTAGTTTTAAAACAGAGCACTTCCATGGTCGGTTTGTGTTTCGGGGGCAGCACTGTGAGAGGGGCTGATCCACGATGGGCAAGTGAGCAGCAGTACTCAGAGTTCTCAGCTTGCCATTTCAGCACAAGTTCGACTGTTGAGTGATTGTCCCATTGGCAGAGTAGGTGGGTTATTCAGAGCCTAGCGATCACTTCCACTTACAGCCGAAAGAATTACAGGATCACATAGCATGTTTGGGAACAAAGAAGTGAAAATTCAGGCAGAAAAGTGTTTTCATTATTTTCAATTTTTAGATCAACTTCCTAGTATTTAAAAGTCTACCACCTCTATCCAACTTATATACCTACATTGTGTATGTGTGTATACAGTAATCATGATCCTACATCAATTGAATTAGTAGAGGAATTAGTTCAGATAGGCATAATGAAATAAAAAAATAAAATGTGTCTTTGTGCTACAGAAGTTTTGCTGAGTGGCAAACAATGGAATGAACTTCACTGACAAATATTTACTTGTCACTTAGTATTTTTTTTTTCTTAGAGGCAAAAAGAGAGGAAGCCAGGGACAGCAGGTCTGAGAGAGCTCCCCGGATGCCTGCAACAGCCGAGGCTGGAGCTGGGAGCTGAGGACTCGAGCCAGGCCTCCCGTGAGGGACAAAGGGACCAATTACTTGGCCTGTCACCACTTCCGTGCAGACTGTGTGCTAGCAAGAAACTGAAGTTCAGAGCCGGAATCAAGGACTGAACCCATCCACTCTGATGTGGGAGGTCCATGTCCTAACTTGCTTCCTAACCACCATGCTAACTAAGTACGTGCCCCATCACTTCCTATTTAACACCCGTGTTTAACTCTTTCTGAATTAAACACTATTCTGCATAAGTTTGTGGCAAAATTTCAGCAGCAGAGAGAATGTGAACAAAATCATAACAGATTCCAAACCCCGCCTTCTTTCTGGTCATTCACCACAACTCTCTTCACCCTGCACACCCACAGTAGAAAATCCTGAATCTCAATTTTAAAATGAATGATGCCAGTTCAGAAAGGAGGAGACAGGCCAGCATCCTAGGTGAGGAACCAGAGACTGCAATGGAGAAAAAATGCTGAGACGCCTGCTCTAAGTAAGAGAAGGCTGGGGAAAGACACCTGTGTCAGCCTCTACACATGCAGGGTTGTCGCCAGAAAGCAGGATTGACCTAGCCCATGTTGCTGCAGAGGGCAGAGCAGTAGTGCTGAAAGGCATACTTCACTCATGTAAGGAAAAACACGTCGGCTGGTAGTCTGGTCAGCAAGGGACTAGAATATACATCATGTGTGAAACATAGATTTTTTCCCCTCCTGCTTAACTCATGGAAGATCTTTGCCTATAGATGGACACTGATAAATGAGTAACTCCTGCCAGGGGATGGAGCAAGTGCTTATAGCAAATATCAGCATCTCCCCAGGGTGGTCTGAATGTTCAGGAACTTCAACTGGCTTAGCTCCAGGCTCTCTTTCAACACTGAGACCAGACAATTTCAAGTCTGCTTTCTGCACTGCATCCTTATTGCTAGAATTTCAAACAGCAACAAGAGACCTGTCTGGATTCTTGATTTAAAACAGAGGCTGGGAGGACAGTGTGGCACAGGCCCACCGTTTGAGGCTCCCACATCCCATTACGCAGTGCTGGTTCAATTCCCAGCTACTCTGCTTCCAATCCAGCTTCCTGCTCTTGCATTCCAGGTAGCAACAGACAATGACGCACATGCATGGGCTCCAGCCGCCCACGTGAGACCTGGATAGAGTCCCTCCAAAGTCTGCTTAATGTGGGTATTGAAGGAGTGAATCAGTGGATGAAAGATTTCTCTCTCTCTCTCTCTCTCTCTCTCTCTCTCTCTCTCTCTCTCTCTCTCTCTAAGGACTTCATGAGCATTTGCTGACCTAAGTAGTCTTTAGTTTCTCAGGTACTAAGTTTCTTTTCGTCTCCAGTGAAATGCTCATACATACACCAAAGGGCATTGTATAACTGAACTGGGCAGAAGGAATACTCTTTCCAAACTCTCTGTATCTCTCTCTCTCTCTCCCGCCTTCCTCTCTTTCTCTTCCTCACTAAGCATTTCAAGTAGTTGAAAGTAATAAAAATGTACATTTAAAACAGGCAAGCTAAACCTCTGCCTGCAGTTCAATTCCTATTGGCTCCACTACTGATCCAGCTCCATGCTAATGGCCTCAGAGAGAAGCAGAAGAGGGCCCATGTCCTTGGGTCTCTGCACCCATGTGGAAGACCCCGAAGAAGCTTCTGACCTGTAGTTTTACTCTGGCCCAGCTTCAGCAGTTGAAGCCCTTTGGAAAATGAACCAGTGGATAGAGGATTCTTTCCTCTCTCTCTTTCTCTCTCTCTCTCTCTCCTCTTCTTTCCATAACTCTGCCTTTCAAATAAAAATAGATCTTTTTAAAAAAACCAGATAGCCAAAGGAGAGAATGAAGGGTTCTTAAATAACTTGGGGACCTAAATCCCATGTGGCTACCTTCATCAATGGTTTTAAACCTGGCTAAAAATCAGACCCACCTGGAGAGCTTTTCATCTTTTATTAATAGGCAAGGGGATTTGAAATACACTGCATTCCCAGTGCTTTTTATATAGTTAGTTTGGGGTGGGATCAGAGTGTTCATATTTCTGCTTTAAATTTAGAGGTTTTTCTTATATCTCAATGGAGAACCACTCATCTACATTATTAAGATATAATGAGTCTCAATGGATCCCAAAGGTCCAGCATGATATTTGTTAAGACTGAGATAACCGATCAACGTTGTTAAACGGTCAGGCTTTGGAGTTTTAAATTGCCTGTCTCCCCTACTGAAGAGCTGTGGGTCCCAGAAAAGTCACTCGCAGTTTCCTCATTTGCCCAAAGGAGATTACAGAGCAGATACCTGATCAGGTGGTTGAGAGGATTAAATGATTGTTAGCATGCTGGAGGCTGAGGACAGCTGCTGGCACACCATGAACAGTCAGTGTGCACGAGAGATTATTTCTGTCTCTGTCGTTAACAAGTTGGAGTGCGGTGTCATTGCATCGTGCTTCTATGGGCCTGGTCAAAAGTTGCTTGCAACATCTAGTTGGGATGCCTGTTCTAAAGACAGAACTCTTAAGTATCAAGCGTTTAAACGAGTAGTGATTTAACCTCTAAGCATCAGTTCTTCCTGGTGCCAGCAAGAGAAAACATTGTTTAGTCTTGCTTTATTTGTGTGTGGGGGGGGGGGGGGGGGAGTGGAGGAGGCAGTTCTTGACTCTGAGAGCTAAAGACAAGTCCTTAAGATAAAGTGAAAACAAAACCACTCCTGGAGTGTACCAACTGAAGCCCCATGGCTGTAAAGCAAGAATTGAGCCAGTTAACATGCTCTGTGCTTCTTCCCTCGTAGATCTCTCAGCCAGCCAGGCTAACGGAGCAGACGCCTGTTCAGGATGCAGAGGAGATTGAACATGCTTCCATCGATCCCGAAGACAAATGGCATCAAAGAGCACAACAGCTAAAGGTCAACCGTTACATTGCATTTTAAGTTCATCTTGCTAAATATAAGTAATATCCATGACCAAGTTACTTAAGGGTTTGTTTTTATGCCTAAGGACAGTTACCCAGCTTCGTGGGGTGAGACTGGCCTCTGCCCAGAGCGACCATTGCTTTCTCTGCCGGTAATCTTGCTTTTCCAAAGGCCCTGTTTCCAAGCAGGACACTATCATGTCACACTTTAGACATATTAGTTCACACAGGACAGGAGGGGAATGCAAGAAAGCTCACAATTCCAGTACTGTCCATATGTTCTAAATCCATTTCCTCTGTGGGTTGCCAGTTGTGTTTGATTCCAAGGAGATGGGGTTATCACCCCCGAAAGTAGATGAGATCCCCAGAGCCTCAGCAAACCCTCATTTGCAGAATGGAAAAGCTCCTCAACAGCAGTTGGGCACAACAATATCTTCTAAATGTAATTTTAAGGAAGATTTTTCTGAAATTATTCTCACGTACTGGTTTTTAAAAAGAACAGGAAAGCACCTGCAGCTACTTTCTCCTTGAGCCCGTGCATGGAGTCCTGTGGAGTCTTTCTTGGGCCAGGTCTTATCTGTACTTAGGAAAGAAGGGCCCGTGTGAAACCATCGAGACTGGAGCCTATTACCAGCATCTTTTAAAACCAGCTGCAGAGGCAAATGTCTTGATAAAAACCACACAGTCCACGCCTGCTGAAGAGGGGCAGCCCAAGTCATCCTCTTTTCCTCTGCACTGGCCTCCAGGCCCCTCTTAGCATTGAAGGGAGACAAGGAGGGAAGAAAAACAGCCAACTGTGGCACCTGAAATGGCAGCCACACATAGTAGCCAAGGAGGGTTCCCCTCTTTTGTTTAGATACGATTCATTCGCCAGCTACATCCTAATGGTGGCTAAGTGCTTGGTCTACTGCAGGCTGCCTGTCTTCTTACACTTTGAATAACCATACATGGTGCTTTCCTTTGGGCTCCCTCCCCTCAAGTGCCATCTCCTACAAGGCTTTCCAGTCTTTCCTACCCCTTTTCTGCACTCCTCTCAGCTCCTCTGCCAGCTCTTTGTAGCTGCTGCCTGTGGGTTGTTTTTGTTTGTTGTTTTTGGTTTGTTTGGTTGGTTGGTTGGTGTTTTTTGCTTGGTTGGTTGTTTGGTTTACCAAGTACACTCGGTTTCATTAGGATGGTAGTTTTTCCTACATCCCTTACCACAATGCTTCTTTGCTCTAAGATGGTGCTCAATAAATTCAAGGCAAGCACTTGACAGAGCAACTAGGACACCACTGGTGCTGTCTCCATCCTTTGTCGGAGAGCCTAGCTTGAGACCCAGCTGCTTTGCTTCCTATCCAGTTTCCTGTCTGTATGCACCCTGGGAGGCAGCAGACGATGATTCAAGCTCTCCCTGCCACCTGTTGTGGAGACCTAAACTGGGTTCCAGACTCTTGGCTTCAGCCTGACCTCACCCTGGCTGTTGCGGAGACTCGGGGAATGAACCAGCATTTGGAAGCTCTCTCTTCTCTCTCTCTCTGTTTCTCTGCTTTCAAACAAAATGAAAATTAACTTTTGGGGGGGAAATGAGATCTACTCATTGACTAAAGAAACATTTAAAGGTCATTTAGTATGTGTCCAAGTGAAAATGGACCTCATTTTCTTGAAAGAGGACTTGGAGAGCATGGAACAGATCCTTCAGCAAACCTGGCCTAACAACAAATAGCTTCTAATAAGGAAATGCCCCTAGTGAAACAAAAATAACTCACATGACCACTGTGCATTGAGTACCTACTAGATTCCAGGTACTGCACATTAGGGACCTGGCCTGAATGATAATCCGAGAAAGAACCACCGCAACAGAAGTCTCTTCCATAAAATAAATAAAATTTGAAGGATAAAGGTTTCAGGAAAAAGAATGGTTCCTCCCCTTTAAAACATCAGTGAGAACACTGTTACTGGGATGTAATGATAAAGAAGTGGGACAAAAGGCAGTGGGCCCAGAAGAGCAGCAGGTACATTCCTAAACAGGCAGAGAAACCTACCCAGGAGACACACCTTGAGAGCCAAAGAAGACTAGAGAGACAGCGAGACCAGGATGGGGACATTCCTTGTGATTTCTGTGAGGCAGCAGGGAACTGCACTGGCACCAGCACTGCTCTGTCTGCCATGCAGCCCACATTCCCAGTGTTCAGTCTGACGGATGTCCCTTCCTCCACCAACCAGCTCAGATCTCCTTCGGGGCAGGACAGCACCTGATCCCTTCCACTCCTGCATAGAGATGATTAGCAAGTGGCACCAGCAGACACTAAGAAGTGTCCAGAATGATGGCCTAAACAGAGCCAGTCCTGTGGGAGGTGAGAATGGAGGTCCTCCCTCTGTCCTTGTCAGGGGTAGAGGTCACCGTGGGAGATAGGCAAGGAGCCCGGTGCAGCCCACACTCCATCAAGATGTTTGGCAGGCAATTCAGATACAGGTAGCGTTTAACAAAAAAAAAAAAAAAAAAATGGGACCAAAGGTTGGTTTCTTTCCTGTTTTCATAGGTAAGACAAAATGTTTTCCACATGCTAGATAGAATGAGAAACTAGACATACAGGACAGGGAAAGAAAATAGGCATGGAAGTCATACATAGGTTTTTTTTCATCATGTGCATTATTTATGAACCTTTGAAGTTCTCCTTCTATGCCTTGATTTCGAGTTTTTGTAACAAAGTAAACCTATCTTTTAATTCCAGTTTTCTGTGAACTTTTTTGTAGTTCCCTCCTAGGCCCAAGATGATTTAAGCCCATGTATTTTCACTGTCTATCTGAGAATGAATAGTCATCCTCATGTCCTATGGATGAATCTTAGGCATTCCTAAGACCTCCACTTCAAGACAAGGAACCCCTTTTCATCGAACCTTCCCCCAATGCCATCTATGATTGTCCAAAATCCCCATGCTCCGTTGTGAATCGCACAGGTTTTCTAAATCACATTTCAGTTGTGTGGCCAGACAGAACACCGCATTTGGTGATGGCCCTCGCTAGGCAGTGTGAGGAGCCAGCTTCCACCAGCAGACAATCCTTTTCGAGGTCTTCCTCTGTATGAACCACCACAGACAGCATGACTTATAAACAACGGGAACTTATTTTTATCATTGTTGAAGAGGCTGGAAAGTCCAAGTTCAGGACATGGGCAGCCTGGTGTGAATTCTGCTTCCTGCATCATGGATGGCACCTCCTTCTGTGTCCTCACATGTAAGATAGGGGTGCAAAGGCTCCCTTGGCCATCAGAAGCACACCCGCCCCATGCAGGAGGGCTTTGGCCCCAGAACCAGTCACCTCTCCTTAGCACCCTTCCCCTTTGTATTTTTTAAAGATTTATGTATTTTTATTGAAAAGCCGATCAGATTTACAAGGGAAAATCTGACTTACAGAGAGGAGAGACAGAAAGATCTTCCATCCGCTGGTTAATTTCCCAGATGTCACAATGACTAGAGTTGAGCCAATCTGAAGCCAGGAGCTTCTTCCGAGTCTCCCACACAGGTGCAGGGTCCCAAGGCTGGGCTGTCCTATACTGCTTTCCTAGGGAGCTGGATGGTAAGTGGAGCAGCCAGGGCACAAACCAGCAATCACCTTAAGAGGTGAGGATTTAACCATTAAGCCGTCACCAAGGCAGATCTATGCTGCCTCTTTATTTGAACCCAGATTTCCATCTTGCCACAATGAAACCTGTACCCAGTTGGTAACAGTGGTTGCTGTCAGAACGTGCATTCTGCCTTCTGCTGTTGGGGTGTCAACAGGAAATGTGTAAAAGGGAAACAACCACTGTGCTGCACAGGCATAGGGCCAGACTGCCCCCAGCACCCCGCTGCCACAGTGTGAGTGCACTCCCATATCTAAGGAGGAGGCGTACGCAGAAATGATCATCTCAGCATTAGGCCTCCAGGTTTCCCTGTGCTGCTGCTCTGCTGTGCCGTGAAAACCCATTGCCATTAAGCAGTTATTCTGAGTGTGTATAGCAGGGACCCGATTGTGAGTGTTGGCAACAAAAGAACCCCAATGAGAGCAGGAGGGAATGGAGGATTTCAGGGCTGAAGGTGATTAAATAGCCTGAGAACGGCTTTGTACATTAACTTCAGGGAACTCTGGGGTCTTGCCACCTGAAGAGTGACACCTGATGCCTCCATTGTAAGGTCATAAATCTCAAGTAAATCGTGGATTTCAAGGGGGCGGCTCAGAAGGCGACAGAAATCACGTCCAGCGCAGGGCTTTCTGCCTTTCTGGGCCTAGGCACTTAGGCTGACATGAATAGCGGATTTAACACTTGAGACAATTGAAGTTTCATAAAATGAGAAGTCCTTGGCCCTGTTGACAAAGCACCCCATGAAGAGTCCTATTGTAAGCTGAATTGTCAGCAGCAAGGGCGATCACCTGATTAAAAGCAAGTGGAACCAAGGCTTTCTAAACCTGGTCTCCAAGAAAAGAGATACGCAGCCCAGGGACCATTTTCTGAAACAAACACACACACACACATATATATATATACACATACGAGTGCATGTGCACATGTACACATATGCACAAACACACGGGAATGAGGAACAAAAATTGGGAAAAGTAGAGTCAGGTGCGGGGGAAGGTTCCCGGTCATTGGCTTCTCTACAGAGACACAGACCGGACAAACGCTGAGATGAAGGACACCATGAGCATCAGTTAATATTAGGAGAACGTGGCAAACGACAAAGCTTCCCTGCCCTTCATGCGCAGTCATGACAGCCATGAAGAGAGCAGTCTGCTGTGTTTTGCAGTCACACCCATAACATTGTAAACAGCAGTCTTCCTCTGGATCCACTGTGAGGCAGGACACGATTAAGGCTGCCAGAGTGTCGCTATCCACCTCCACCCCAGCCGCCCCCCAACACACAGCTCAACACACTGCACCAGAGAAAGGAGGCCGCTAGATGGGAAGGAGGGCCCCTCTAAGTAAGGGGGGGCCCATAAAATAAACCTTCTTTTCTTTCTTGCTCTCTTTCTTTCTTTCTTTCTTTCTTTCTTTGTTGTAGAGCACTACAAGGAAAAATTTTAAGTTTACAGAAACCTATTGGGGCCTGGTCAGTCCTCCAGAAAACTCAAATTTCAAGATGAACATATTGTAAATGCTAAATTAGAACTCATTTTTACTTAAAAACATGACATAGTAATAAGAAATATGTATTACTATCTTAAAAATCTTCCACCTACTCATTATGATATAATTTTATTTAAAATAAAATGTCACCTCTATTTTAATACGCAGGAATAGACTGTCTCTTAACAACTATATCAGAAAAATGAAATAAAAGCTGGACTGCTATCCCAATACTGTGATTCTAAAGAGCTAACCAAAACAAAGGATTTGCAAGTCAGCATGATTTCTTTTTCACTACAAGATTTTTTTCTGCAAACAGCTAACTGTTGCTTTTTTCTGAATTGAGGTTGCATAGATAAATGCCACAGAGGTTTGTTTTTAATAGACGTGTATGTTCGGAAAGGGAGAAGTTACAGTTCTATGAAACACCGAGGCATATGGTCATCTTGCTGTTTTCAGTAAGCATTTAATCTTTCTTTCCGAAGTCCTCTTCACTCTGCTAGTTTTTTGTTTTTTTTTTTTCACAAAATAATGAGTGCTTCATCCCTTGGAAAAGATCTCTAAATGGCTGTGGCACAATATAGTGCCAGAGTGTATCCATTATGCCAGGAGTACATGTTGTTATGAGGGGACTCCGGAAAGCATAAAGACTGCTCTGAGATGGAAATTTCTCCCCCAGATGTTTGATTGCTGAGTACGGGCTGCATTAAGGAGGAGACGCCTCACAGCCCCTGCGGTTCCGTGCAAGTTCAGTTACAGCCCGGTCTCCTTGCTAACCCCTGAATAAACTTTAATTTGCTTCATCTAGTGAAAAGGCCACTGCTGCCTTCTGACCTGTGTGAGTAAAAGCAAGTTATCTGAAAGGCAGTTCATGAGAAACTTGCACGTAGTTGGTAAACCAATCATTTCTCTTCTCTGGCTAAGATTTTGCTCCAATGCCCGTTTTGCTGCAAGATGTTTGCCTGCTGCTGTGAAGATTAACAGTCTTAGAGCTAAGGCTCCCAGTCTGCTTTCTGTGCCTTCCCGCAACGACTTGGTAACACTCTGCGTTACAACATCCCAAGTCAGAAGCTTCTCCTTAATATGAAGCCTAAGGGCTCCATGTTTCTCAGGCAGGCGCTCTAACATCTTCCAGAGGACACTCTTAGCCGCCCACTCTCCAATTACCAGACATCAGGAAATGACCCCTCTGAAGTCTTTGTCTACTGGATATCAGTTAGTGCCTAACTCCGTGGTCAACCTTCTTTGAAGGGTTAATCCTCACACTGAAAAATGTTAATTTAAACGTTGTCTTGTGATTGTATACTAACCCAGAATATCTTCTTTAGAATTACCAGGAACACTATTCTCAATATGAGAGTGCAAAACTGAGAAACACAGCCCAGGGTCCATCTTCTGAAACAGAGAACAACCTGCGAACTTCTAGAAGAGCAGCCAAGGCCAAGATTGGAAAGCAGCATCGCCACCAGAAGAGCCTGAAGTCTCCGATGCCTGAAAAGGTCACTGTCACTCAAGGAAACAAGAATAACACTCCCATGTGGCAACAAAACCCAAACCAGCCAAGTGATGCTTCCGTAAGGCACGAATCAGCCGTGATTACGAATACCCCTAACAATAACCTACGAGACTCAAGTGCACTTAGGAGGCAGAATCCCAAAGTAACCTCTGATGCATCTGCTCCAACAAAACAGACTTTTGACAGGGTATTGTCCAAGAACCCTACTAGACATCACTCAGGGCAGAATGTTAATAAAGAAAAAGGGCGCAGAGACCAAACAGAGAAAAGACCGTCACATGAGCAGCTACACCTCAACACTCTTTCTAATACGGACTTCAGCAACCTTGATGAACTCTCTAAGAATCAAATGCACATGACCCAGAGAGGTTCTCAGTCTGTTCATACCATAAATGATCATGGAGCGACCAAAAATAACAAACAACCCAAGCAACCTTATACAGAGACAAGATACAGGAACTTGGAAATATTATGGTAAGAATTCTGTTTCCTCAAATGGTGTTTTGGAGGAGAACGGGGAGGGTGCTGGAGTAAGCCAGAGAGCTACAAGGGACAGATGAGTCCCGGAAGATGGTAAAATGAGCAGGAGAAGGCAGCTAACAACTCCTGGGCTCTAGTAACTGCAAAGTATTGTCTCTGATGCATTTCCTTTCTGCTTTCTTACCTTTCTCTACCTTTCCCACGTTAGTTAAATTAGAAGGTTAGGAGTTAAGAAAGAAGGACACAGGGACCCAATCTTTACAAAAAAAAAACAAAACTATGGTTTTAGATTTGAAAATAATGCTTGGTGGACACCTATTATCTTGAACACTATAATGGTTTATCCTAAGAAACTAATCTAAAATGCAGGAAAATATATATGCACAAACATATCATTATTTATATAAATGACCTGAAAATCTAATCATAGAGAAATGTTTAGGTAAGTTATAATATTTCATATCATATAAACATTAAAAATTATGAAAGAAATCCTTCCTTCTTAATTTATTTTTATTTCCATTCAAAAGCACAGTTACAGGGAGGGAGAGACAGAGAGAGGTTTTTCTTTCCCTGGTTTATTCCACAGTTGGCCACAACAACCAGGGCTGGGCCAGGCTGAAGCCAGGAGCCAGGAGCTTCTTCTGTGTCTGCCATGTGGGGGCAGGGGCCCAAGTGCTTGGGCTGACCTCCACTGCTTTCCCAGGTACATTACCAGAGAGCTGGAGTGGAATTAGAGTGGCCAGGATTCAAATCAGTGTCCGTATGGGATATTGACATCACAGCTCGCCTAGTCTGCTGCAGTACGACACCAGCCTCTCGTGTATGTCTTTTGTTTCGGTTTATTTTCTTGGAAGATTTTTAAATTCCTGCTTCACTTACCATAACGGTTATAAATATTTACAATCTGTTTCCATCTTAGTCACATTGATAAATTACATTTTTCTAGATAAAATTTCCCTTCTGGATCAATTTAAACTGTAGTATCATAAAGCTTTTCATGTTCACACAAACTGCATATTATTTAATTTCCACTATCTAGTCTTCCTTTTCTTTCTGTGCTTCCTTATTTTGTAAAGTCTTTATTAACTGTTATTTGAGAGGCAGAGACAGCAAAACAGATGGACAGAGTCAAGCACAATGGCTCAATTGGCTAATCCTCCCCTTACAAGCAGCACCAGGATGCCATATGGTCACTGGTTTGAGTCTCAGCTGCTCCACTTCTCTTTCAGCTCCCTCCTCGTGGTCTGGGAAAGCAGTGGAGGATGGCCCAAATCCTTGGGATCCTGCACCCATGTAGGAGACCATGATAAAGCTCCTAGATCTTGGCTTTGGATGGACTCAGCTCCAGATATTAACAGCCCACTTGAGGAGTGAACCAGTGGATGGAAGATCTTTCTCTCCTCCTCCTCTCTATAAATCTGCCTTTCCAATAAAAGTAATAAATCTTAAAAATAAATACAAGCAGATGGACAGAGTTCTCATCCATGATGACCACAGCTGAGCCAAGCCAGAGGCCCTAACTAAGGAATTCAATCCAGGAATTCAATCCAGGTCTCCCACAGAACTGGCAGAAGCTCAGAGCAATCTCTACTGCCTCCTATCAGAGAGCAGTCCAGTGAAAGACACTGGCATCCTAACTGGTTTCACCATTAGACCAAATGCCCATCCATTCTTATTTATTTTTTTAAGAGTAATTTTTCAACCAAAGGTTGAATGCATACGTGTTAAAAAGTCAAATTGTGACAGGCATTGTGGCACAGTGGGTTAACCTGCCTATTTAGGACACCCCCATTCCATTTTGGCTTGCCTCTTCTAGTCCTGTCTCGGCTTCTAACTCAGATCCTTGCTAATATACCCTGGAGGCAGCAGATGATGGGCCAAGAATCTGGGCCCCTGGTGCCCACATGGAAGACCTGGACGGAATTCAGGCTTCAACCTGTATTGTGGGCATTTGAGCTTCGAGAAATGAGCCAATAGATGAAAGATTCCCTTTCTCTCCCTTTCTTTCTGCCTGTCAAATAATATTCTTTCTAAAAGAATTATTTAAATAAATGAATAGTCAAATAGGCTGGTCACAACAAAGTGCTTCCCAGAGGCTGTGGCTGATGGGGCCGGCTGACTTGTGGAGTGGTCTGTGTGGACCGTGTGATGGGAGGTCTGGCTGTCAGCATTAGGTTCATTCTGTAAGAGGCTGCAATGGCCAGGACTGATCCAATCCAAAACCAGGAGCCAGGAGCTTCTTCTGAGTCTTCCACATGGGTACAGGGTTCCAAGGCTTTGGGCCATCCTCAACCGCTCTCCCAGGCCACAAGCAGGGAGCTGGATGGGAAGCAGGGCTGCCGGGATTAGAACCAGCGCCCATATGGGATCCTGGCACATTCAAGGCAAGGACTTCAGCCGCTAGGCTACTATGCCGGGCCCCCAAAGTATCTTATATACCTAGATTTTTATTTTCCTATCCCAGGATCCAATCCATGTTCATACATTACATTAGCACTTTTTTTAGTCTCTTTAATTTACTTTAAAAATATATATTTTTTAAAAAGATTTATTTATTATTTTTATTGGAAAGGCGGATATACAGAGAGGAGAGACAGAGAGGAAGATCTTCCGTCCGATGATTCACTCCCCAAGTGAGCTCAACGGTCAATGCTATGCCGATCCGAAGCCAGGAGCCTCTTCCGGGTCTCCCGCGGGTGCAGGGTCCCAAAGCTTTGGGCTGTCCTCGCCTGCTTTCCCAGGCCACAGGCAGGGAGCTGGAAGGGAAGCAGGGCTGCCGGGATTAGAACCGGTGCCCATATGGGATCCTGGGCGTCCAAGGCGAGGACCTTAACCACTTGCGCCACCACGCCGGGCCCAAAAATATATATTTTTTTATTTAAAAGATTAACAGGGCCAGGTGCAATAGCCAAGAAACTATAGTCCTCACTGCATGCGCCAGGATCCCATATGTGCACCATTTCTAATCCCAGTGGCCCCACTTCCTATCCAGCTCCTTGCTTGTGACCTTGGAAAGCAGTTGAGGATGGCCCAAAGCCTTGGTTCCCTGCACCCAGGTGAGACCTGAAAGAAGCTCCTGGCTCCTTGTTTTGTATCAGCACAGTTCCAGCCATTGGAGCCTCTTGGAGAGTGAATCATTGGACAGAAGATCTTGTTCTCTGTCTCTCCTCTTCTCTGTACATCTGACTTTCCAATAAAAAATAAAATAAATCTGGGCCCGGCACAGTGGCCTAGTGGCTAAAGCCCTTGCCTTGAATGTGTCAGGTACCCATATGGGTGCCAGTTCTAATCCTGGCAGCCCCACTTCCCATCCAGCTCCCTGCTTGTCGCCTAGGAAAGCAGTGGAGTATAGCCCAAGACCTTAGGACTCTGCACCCATGTGGGAGACCCAGAAGAAGCTCCTGGCTCCTGGCTCCGGATTGGCACAGCTCCGGCCATGGCAGTCACTTGGGGAGTGAATCATCGGACAGAAGATCTTCCTCTCTGTATATCTGATTTTGCAATAAAAAATAATCTTTTTTAAAAAATAAATTTTAAAAAAGATTGACAGAAAAGGAGAGACAGAGAAAGCTGGGGAGTGGTTCACCTCCCCAGATGGCCATGATGGCAGGAGTTGGGCTGGTCTTAAGTAAAAAAAATCTAGAGCTTCCCACATGGGTTCAGTAACCAAAAGACCTGGGCCATCTTCCACTGATTTCCCAGACGCATTATCGTTTAACCTAGTATTCAACTCTTCAAAATATTTCTCTGTCTCCTAATGTTGCTTTGAAAAATCTTCTGTCAATATAATTGTCACTCTTCTGTGTTTCTTAAACCTGATTATTTCTATCTCACAGATTCAAAAAAGAAATCGCAGCCCACTTTTTCTGTGAATATTATATCTTCTAGATTTGCTGCATTTTATTTCACAGAAATAATAAGTGTATGTGTATTAGATTTTCTTGTTCCACGCCTTGTACCTCTTAAACTTTATGATTTTACAGCTTTTATTTCTGTGCTTCTTTCTAAGAAATTTCTTCATGAACATTTCCCGACCCAATAACTCTTTGGCTGTGTTCCACTGGCTTCTTAATGTATCCATTGAGTTTTGGTGTGTTATGTTTAGAATGTCTGTTTGATTCTGAAGCTTTCTGTGTATCTATCCCCTACCAGTCTGTCATTATGCCTCTCAAATAAACAAATACATATATTGCTCTTTGGAAAACTCAACCCAAATGCGCCACAGCAGAGGCCATTGTCTCAGCTAATCCAAAATTTGTTTCATCTGCTGGATCTCCTTTTCTGTTTTTGTCCTTAACAGATTTTGTGCCTCTCTTACAAATTTAATTATGTATTTTAAAAGATTTGTTCAATTTAATGCATCGTTTCAGTTATTTTTCAGTGAGAAGTTTTTTGATTTTTCAAAAGGATGTTTAATCTTGAATGCACTATATGAAATTTCTAAGTTAGTACTAGAATAACCTAAGGAAAGAGAAAGATTTTGTAAACAAAATTGTGTGTGTGTGTGTGTGTGTGTGTGTGTGTGTGTGTGTGTGTGTGTGAGTGTTTGAAAACCAGAGTTACCCAGTGGAAGAGAGGGATAGAGAGAGAGCAAGAGAGAAAGAGAGAAATGGCTTCCATCCACTGGCTCACTCTCCAAGTGGCAACCACAAGCTGGCTATTAGCAGGGAGCTGGATTGGAAGTGGAGCAGCTGGGACACGAACCAGTGTACAAATGGGATGCTCCGTTGCAAGTGACAGTTGTACTTGCTACATCACAATGCCAGTCCCCAAAGAAGGTTTTAGGGGTTGGTGCCTGCAGGGCAGTATCCCGTATGAGGGCCAGTTCAAATCCTGGCTGCTCCACCTCTGATCTATCACCCTGGTAATGTGCCTGGGAAAATAACGAAAGATTGTCCAGGTCCTTGGGTCCCTGCACCCCTGTGGAAAACCAGAAGAAGCTCTAAGTTTCTGGCTAAAGTGCTGGCTCATCTCTGGCCATTATGGCCATTTGGGGATTGAATCAGTAGATACATCTCTCTCCTCTGTGTCTGTGTCTCCTTCTCTCACTGTGAATCCACTTTTAAATAAAAATAAAGATTTCAAGATAAGAAATTAATATATACATTAAAAGACTGAGTGAAGGACAAATGCATGGGGTTAGTGCTTCATGAAGATTTTTAGACTGGAAGTCAGGTGAAGCTAGATTTTATAAGGGATTTATACTTTTTGCTCCCTAAGGAAATTCCACTCACCCTCTGATGGCCAGCCCGCAAGAGCTTCTCCGGACTCGCAGCTCACTCGGATCATGGCACAGCATCAGCAAGCCCTGGTGCAGCTGACCGAGGTGCAGCCCCACGAGGTCTTCACCACCATCACACTGCCGCCAATCTTGTCAAGGGTGGAGAGCGAATCCCGCCTCAGCTCCAAGAGAAGCCAGAGACTCCAAATGAAAATCAATCGCAGCAATTCTGAAGGCTACCTGCTTCAGCTGGAAAAGGGAAAGAGACACAGGAAGAGAAGCAGCATTAAGGTAACGCCGGCGTCACTTTACCGAGAAGCCTTTTCTTTCCCATCACACACATAGACCTTGATTTTCAGCCCTTCTCTACCCCCCGCGATTACAGCCCTGGCATAGGGGTGGTCGTGATGGAGTAGCCCAGGTCCTGATGAGCCCCTCTCCTCCAGCCCCTGCTCCTCCTCAGGGAAGCCCACTGCCACCTCCTTATCCCATCTTCTCATGGAAGGGTCTACATTTACAGTGAGCCAGTCTCCTGCTTTCACCTCCAGCTAAAATTCACCAGAAAAATATCTACAACCTCTCCCCATCCCCACTGCTCTGTAAAGAAGAACTGATGGGGGGGACCACTCTACAAAAGAGCCCGTTGCCTCTGGGTTTTCCCTGCCATCCAGCCCTGGCTCCCTATCCCTGGGGAAACCTTCAGCCTTTTCAGTACAGCACCAGCCAAGGTCTCATCCTTCCTCCTCATGCTGCCTACTCTTCCCTGAGTCCTTGCCAATGAGATGCACACTCATCTCTACACACTGAAATCCTTCCCCATATGGACTGCCTGGCTTAGTAAGTAAAGTCAGGGAGCCCAAGGTAGAATATTTTTAGGAAGAAATGAAGGCACACAGGAGACATTTCCTGTCCTATGCGTTTCTTCACTGTTTCAAGCAATAGAAATCCCTCAGGATTGGCTGGTTGGTTGTAGTCTCAAACAGTATGGAAGGAATCTGGGATATGCATGCTCTCTCAGGGCACTGGGGAAGGGGTGGTTGGAAGCATTTAGAGGCTTGCCACGAAGCCAGTTCCCTGCGCACACACTCTAAACTGGAGGTTTGAGTGCAGCAGGTTCGTTAAGGAAGCACCCCGCCCCCACAGGGCAGTGGGAGCAGCCACGATGGAAGCCTCTGCTACGGCTCTGAGGACTTGTAAGCTATGGCTCCACGGCCCTTGTAAGACAAGAAGCCCAGGCTTGCGATTTCCCACAAAAGCCAGTCACTGGATAACGACTGTCCCGGGGAGTAGGTGAGACTTGGGCCACAGCAGCTCCACTTGGCTGAGGGCAGTTTGTCTTTCTTTTTTTAATAATTTTTTTGATATTGCTTACATAGTTGACAAGGACGCATGCCCATGAGGACCACTGATTTGAGTTGGAGAGGGTTGGGAATGAGGGAAGGTAGGTGAGACAGATGTTTCTGATTTTCCTTTTTTTCCTGCATGGAAATGGAGGCAGGGGTAAAGTGAAGGAGGGAGACGAGTCACTTCCAAAGGCCAGACTGCATCAGTACCCGGGGGTGCAGGATATCTGCTTGATGTCATCTTAGAAACCCCGATGTGGAGAAGAATGTTCCGAGGGTAGTGCTTGAGTGGTTTTGATGGTTCTGAGATGCTGTTGGTTTCATTGCTCCAAGGTGGACAAAATCTTTCCAAGCTCCGTTGGCTGGCAGAGTCCACCCCATGCACCCGCTCACCCAGACACTTGCTGCCAAAGTTCAGCCAGGAGAGTTGTCCACCCAGTTATGTGCCCCATCTTCTGACATGGCACTCACTATCCTCTGCAGGCCCAAATGAGCTGGCCATCCTGGCCCCCCTAGGTACCTCGGCATGCTGTCTACTGCACAGGCATCAGAAATCAGAGAGGTCCAATCCAGACACGTGCATGTGGTGTAAAGGTAATCCACAAAACCTGATTTTCCCTGTGGCCAGAGTTCAGTCGTCCAGCTGTGGAGTCCCCCCAAGAAACCCCACTTGTGATCATCCCCCTGACTCTCACATGTGCCAGCCAATACAGGGTCAGGTTCAATCAGTCACCCACGATAGCCTACACACACACTGGTGATTGTAGTTACCTGGTTCTGTAGTTTTGTCCCCAGCTCCATGTCCTGGGCAAACCTACAGGTGCTGCAGCCCAGCCCAACCCAGCCTGCCACAGGCCGGCCCCTATGCACACCAGCGGGAGCTTCAGCGTAGTGGAGTGACCCCCAATAACTCCCACCAGACCCACCCCCCAGCCCTGGTCCCTGCACATGCCAGTATGTACAACAGGCTAAGTTGGTCCATGCTGCATCCTAATTGAGTTCTCATATACACCCATGGAAGCTGCAGCCTAGCTCAGCCCACGCCACCCCACAACCCAATCCACACGTATACCAATAGGTGCCATCACCCTGTTCAGCATAGTCCACCCCCAGCCCTGGTTCTCAAGCACTCCAGCGAGAGCTGCAGCCCAGCAGAGGGGTGCCCACAATATCCCTACTAGGCCCATCCTTAGTCCCAGATCTTGCCTTTTCCAGAGAGTACTGCAGTTCAGTCTGACACAACTTGCACCCTGCCCAGCTGTTGCCAGTGGATGCTGTGGCAAAGTCCCACCAGTTAGCACTTATCCTGGCTCTTGAATGTACCAGTGGACACAGTGACCTGGTCTAGCCCAGCCCTCCCCCAAACCCAGCTTATATGCAGGCCAGTGGTTGTTGCAGTCCTGGCTAACCCAATATGCCCCTAGTTCCAGCTCTCATACTCACCGATAGAAGTAGTTACCCAGCAGGGGAGTCCCCGCAGTCCCCCCTCAACAGATTCACTCCTAGTCTTGGATCTTACATGTGATCGGATGGCCCATCTTGAATCAACATTTGCAGGTGGGTGCTGAGCCTGGCTCCACCTGGCCTGCCCCAGTCCCAGCTTATTCTGGCAGGTGCTACAGCCTAGCCCAGCCCAGCCAGCACCCAGTTCAGGCACTAATATGAACTAGGAGGTGTTACATCCAAACCCAGCCTGGCCTTCACTTTGTCCTAATCTCACACCTCCCAGAGGATGTTGCAGACCTGCCCAGTATGGCCTTGCCCCAGACCTGTTGCACATGCATGCCTATGGGTACTGTAGCCAGGCCTGCTGTCCCCAGCCTTGGGTCTTGCCCTTACCAGAGAGGCTACATCTTACCTGGGTAATTCCCCAAGTTCCTCTATCATACCAGCTCCCAGTCACAGATCTCCCAGTTGCACACCGGTGTTTGGCTCAGTCTGACTTGGCCTACTCCATTCCCAACATTCACTGACAGGTACTGCAGCCTTAGCAAACCATCCCACACCTGTTCTGGCTCTCACCGGTAGGTGCTACAGCCCAGCCCTTCCTGGCCCTCCTCTAGATCCAGCTCCCAGGTGAATCAGTTAATTCTGCAACCTAGCCCAGCCTATGACCTGTTTGACACTTTATTTAAAAATAATAATAATAATAATAATAAGCAACTATGGTATAATTAGCACAAATTTCATGTTAACCAGGCGCCCAAATGCCCACCAGCTATTGGCTGCTTTTCTCCCAGCAATGTAACACTTACCTAGGTACAATTCAACCTAGGCAATTGCCTATAGCTGGGGAATTTTTTTTTTTCAATATTACAATTCCACAGGCTCAGACATTTCCTTTTCCAGCCTTCCCGTTTCTCCCTTCCCCGCTGTTTTTTCCTATATTCTGAAGGTAGTTCTAGGGAGAACTCTCGACTTGAAGACATGCCCAGTAACTGCAGGCACAAGAGCCTCTGGCCAGAGGAACATCCTCACCGCTCCCCAACTGAGTTTGGGGAGAACTAGCAGATCCTCCTTTATTCAAAATAGTGGTTTAATTCCTACTAGGAGCATGCTGGGGGTGGGTTATCAAGATGAAAAGAGCCATAATCTGTCCCCTGGAAGAATCTTAGGGCTACACAGATCCAGGGAAGATCAACAGATTAAGTGGCTTCTGTATAATGTTGGGAGCAAAGTAGTCACCAGTGTATGTGCCTGGGAGTCGGGAGAACACACTCTCCAGCCTGGCAGACAGCAAAACTGTGAGAGACAACTTGGAGTTGAGTCTTAGAGGGCCGGCCAAGGACGGAACATTATCAAGAGTGCTTTAGGCCAGGGCAGTTGGCAGGAGCAAAGGTTCCAAGACAGCAACAGCATGATGCCTGCCAAGAACGAACCAGCACTCCTGTCCCTTTCACTGAAACTGGGAGGCACTGGGTCTGGGTTCCCACGGGTGCTGAGTAAAAAGAACCAAGTCTTAATCTTGTTAGTCCTTCAAGGAATAAAGACTTCGATTTTGTATGTGCCCCTTCCCTCAGGTACACGTGTTGAACTGTAACCACAAGTTCATATTGTGATGAACATCAATAGCTACTGTAAATGGCTTGCAACTGGGAAAACTCCTGGTTTGACTGTAAATAAGGAAAAGTGTGTTTCTGGACCCAAATTGACTTGTTTTCCCACACAAAGAGCATGATGGTTAGATTCTAAGGTGCTTTATACTGACCAACTTGCCAAGGGCCTATTGAAGATTTTTTAAACTTCACTATAATGCACAAGTGATTGAGATTTCTGAATTTGGATTTTTTTTTCATGTTCATCATCTATAGCACAAGCATCTTGGGATGCTGGGCAGTGGCACAGCTGCCAGTCAGCTCCGTGATCACAAGGGGAAGTCACTAGCTCCAAAGGGTCTGAGCTGGCAAGCTAGGGTGACCAGGTTAGGCAACATTCAGTGCATTTTCAACCAGGATATTTTCAACTTGCAATGGGTTGATGAGGACAAAAAAAAATTAAAACTCAAGGAGAATCTGTATTGTATTCAAGTATTTCATAAATAAAATAAGTTTTGTAGAGTAGATCAGGAAACTGGATATTGTACATATATTTTATTGTTGTCATAGGGAAACATGTTCAGTGCTTTGGGGCACATTGTCAAGCTGAAGACAACCTGTTCACTGCAAAGCTTACAAGTTGTTAGACTCTGCAACATAGCTCAAGCATACCTCAGAAGGTAGCGTTCCATTTGGGTGTTCTTTTTTTCTGTTTTAAAGATTTGTTTTGTCTGTTTGAAAGCCAATTACAGAGAGAAAAAGAGAGATCTTCCATCTACTGATTCACTCCCCAAATAGTCACAAAAGCCAAGCCAAAGGCAACAGCTTCATGAGTCTCCACATGGTTGCTGGGGCCCAAGGGCCTAGGCCATCTTCTGCTACTTTTCCATGTGCGTTAGCAGGGATCTGGGTC